TGCACAAGGTTATTGCACTAGAAAACTGCAGCCTCACATGATGACAGAAACCATCACTTTGACACAGACTTTTAGAGTAACTTGAACAGTAGCTTCATCAGGGCTGCAGTGAAGTTTTGAATCTAGAAGCAGTCTAGAAATCTAGATTTTTTGAATCTAGAAACAATCTGAGGATTCTTGCACACCAAAAAGTTCTCAAAACATTGCACATTTGTATCATAGGAAGAAAACTTTGGATTTTTCCAAAAAGTTCTGGATTCTAATTCCTCCTAATTATGCCACCTTTGTCACCGAGACTAAACTATATAATTTAAGTAAGAGTATGTGCTCTAACTGGAAGGTCACTGCATTCCCTACTTTTGCAAACTACTTGTTTAACTAGGGTACAGATCAGTCAGTATTTGTAAAATATTTCAAGGTCAGATGGAACATAAATTAAATAGGAAATTAAAACTCAACTATTACCCATGAAGGATACCATCTTTTGCATAATTTGATTTTTTTTTTTCATACAGTTTACATTTTTTTGTGTGTGTGCTTTCTTAGCATTCATGAGACACATAACAAATTACACTGAACCACTGTAATCTGACCTATTCAGTATTCAGTCATTTGAATTCCTAGAAAGGATAATTTCAAAAATTAAAGAAGCATATTACTTTCCCCTTCATGTAATAGAGGGTGACATGTAGAAGCAAAAGTGAAGCTAACTGCATGCAGTGGGATGACCCTGGCTAAATGCCAGGTGCCCACCTAAGCCATTCTATTACTGCCCACCTCAGTTGCACAGGGGAGAGAAAAGTTGAACAGAAGGCTGGTGGGTTGAGATATGGGCAGGGAGAGATCATTCACCAATTACTGTCATGGGCAAAACAGATTTGACTTGGGGAAAATTACTTTAATTTATTGCCAGTCAAGTCAGAGTAGGGTAATGAGGTATAAAATCAAATCTTAAAAAACACCTTCCCCCGTTCCCTTCCTCCTGGGCTGAACTTCAGATTTCCTTTACCTCCTTCACTACAGTGACACAGGAGGAGAGGAATGGGGGTTGCAGTCACAGAATCACACCTTTTCTCTGCCTCTCCTTCCTCCCCACACACTTCCCCTGCTATAGCATGAGGTCCCACCCACGGTAGACAGTCCTCCACAAACTTCTCCAACCTGAATACTTCCCATGAACTGCTGCTCTTCATGAACTTTTTTGGTGTGGGTCCCTTCCACAGGGTGCAGTCTTTCAGGCACAGGCTGCTCCAGTGAAGATTCTCCCCATGGTCACCAGCTGGGCCAGCAAACTAAATCTACAGTGGTCTATTCTCTCCATGGAGCCACAGGTCCTGCCACAAGCCTGCTCCAGTGTGGGCTTCCCATAGGGTCACAGCCTCCTTTGGGCATCTGCCTGACTTGGTGTGGGCTCCTCCAAAGGCTGCAGGTGGATCTCTGCATTGTCATGGACCTCCATGGGCTGCAGGGACACAGTTGCCTCAGGATGGACTGCAGGGGAATCTCTGCTCTGGCACCTGGAGCACCTCCTCCTCCACTGACCTTGGTATGTGCAAAGCTGTCACCCTCACATATTCTCACTCCTCTCTATGGCTTCAGCTGTGCAGAAGCTTTTTCCCTTTCTTATTTATGTTACCACAGCAGTGCTACCTCCATTGCAGATGGAATCAGCCTTGGCCAGCCGTGGGTCCCTCTTGGAGCTGGCTGGCATTGATTCAGCTGGACACGGGGGAAGCTTCTGGTAGTTTCTCACAGAAGAAATACTTGTAGCCCCTTCCACTACCAAAACTTTGACATGCAAACTCAATACAATGAAATATAACACATTTATATTACTGTCCAGTTTTCTATGTTTTACTGCAGCAATAAAGTGAGAAATATCAGTTTAATATTTGCTTTCTGTGCAATGTGCCAAATTAGTAGAATTGGAGAATTTTCAGTAAAGGAAATCTAGGATAATTAAAGTTATGAACTGGCTTAGGTATGAGAAATTTATTTATAGAGCAGTGAATGCCATGGAAAATAAGCAAATGTGAGGAAAGAGGTAAGACAATTCCGCTAGTCATCAAGTAATATGAATATAATGAATAGCATACAAGAGCAAATAATGAAGAGTGAATCTGATCAGATATTCATGGTATCCTGTAATAAAAGAATAAAAAAAGTTCAATAGAAACTAAAAGGTATTTCTGAAAGTGAGGGATTTATTCTTTGATTTATAACTAAGCTGTAATTACCCCTCCATAGGGTTGTAGATTTCTAGTAAGTGACAGAGTTGACAAAAATCACTGGAAAAAGACATGGAAAAAGAGTCTGTCTGTGATTATTAAATAGCAAGATAAGACTCTCTAAGGAATCATCCAACCCAAAAATTACTGGAAGCAGGGAGAGCATTTGTGAAAGTTCATCTTCTTGCATCTCCTGTTCTGATTGTCTCCATTGGGAATTCTGTATGGGTGTCTAAGTATGCGTTGCTCTGACCTGTGAGAGCCAATCCTAAGTTGAATTTGGTTCTCAGCAGAATCTATGATAGAAAACATGCAAAGAAAACTCGAAACACTTGAATTTCTTAGGTCTTTAGTGGATAAAAAGCCCTTCTAGAGGGTACAAAATATAGAGATATGGAGCTTATTTCCAAGCAGTTTTCTATTTTGGCTAAATTACACCATCCATTATCAGCTAAAATAATGCAATACAATAACTATCATATGGGTCAATACCATGATCTGGTTGTTAAAATCATTTGAGACATGCCTCTGCCCAAATTTAGGTGCAAATGAGATCATATAAGAAAGTCAATAGTACAGATTACTGTTAACAGTGAAAGTGAGGTAGAAAGAAATAGGGAAAAGAAAGAGAAAGAATAAGAGTAGAAAGTATATAGTCAACACCAATTGGAGACCTCGATAAGGCTTGCAATTTTGACGTCTGTTGGTCAAAGTGGCACAAGCAGACTGAATAATCTGTCAAGTTCTTGGGAAGTCCCATCACCATGGTGGAGAAAACCCATGAAACAGGGTCTCTGATGGGTTTATATTTACCAAGGTCCACGTGGGAACCCCCAGGTACCTCCCCTGTGGCAGGGAGTTTCACACTGAATGCTGTGAATCACACTACCTGGCTCCCAAGATTTGCCACTTTCCTTATCTTGTTCAACACCCAGCTGCAGCTTGTAGGGCTGTGCTCACCCTCTCCACATGGGCAGGTTCTTTGCACATCAGCAGCTCACCACCTCAGTGTTTGAGCCACCAGCACTCCAGTTTCCCTTCCAGTATCCCTTGTGGATACATTCCTTCCCCAGACTGGGGTAACTGAACAACAGAACCACCTTTATTTTATCTCAAGTTCTCTGCACAGTCCAAATTCTGGTTAGTAGCCATGCTCATCGAGGGGTGGGCTTTGGTGTTTGCAGATGAACAGCTGCCTCTTTGCAGTTCACTACAGTGGGCACAAGCCCTCAGAGGATTTTAAGGATGTTTAAGCCATTAAACATTTCAATCTCTCACAGTCAATCAATATAATCTAGTAATTAGGAACAATCTATCACAAGAATTAACAGTTCTGTAATGACCTCTACTTTCTTTGACCCCTCAGAAAAAAGGGAATGGAAGCTGTGTGATATTCTCACAGTAGGGCAAATAACTGGTTTTTATGATACAAGAGCCACTGTGTTAATTATGCATCAACTGACTAAGGGAATGCTTATGCCATGGAAGAAGATATTAAAATTCCCTGTTAAATTTAGAAATAACTGTAGGAGACAGGCATTAACACATTTTGTGTTTGCAGACTGATAAAAATTATAGGAATGTACTCATGTATTTGTAATATAATGTGAAAAGATTTTTTTGTCTTAATAATTTAAATATGAAGAAAAATAGTGAAACCTATGATCTAACTTTTCAACTTGAAATTAAAAGAAGCTAAAGAGAAAGTTACTTTTCTTAGTTGTAAATAATTGAATGTAAGACACTTTTCTGAAATCTAGGCTAGCTGTAAGATCTGTCTAAAAAGCTAGAAAATTATATCATCTTAACTGAAAAATATTTTATATTTTCAACACCAAAGCTCTCCAGTTAATAGTTTTCTTTGTCAGATTTTTGCCCTCCAGGCTGCTTGCGCAGGCCTGGGCTTTGCAAGGTATCCTGACTGCACAGAGCACCTCAATGAATCAAGTACATAAGAAGAGGTATGAACCGCATTAATGACTGCTTCAGAACATGCTACCACTTCAAAGTGCAGGCAACTTTGCTTTCCCTCCCACACCAGATGACATATCATAAAGCAAAACTGAAAAACACTATTGATGAAAGCACCATTTTATATCTCTACAATTTTTTTACCCATTAATTTACTTTTATTCCTGGGGGACAGCTGCCTAGATCACAGTCCTCCCCAGAAACAGTGCTGTCATGACTTCAAAAGTAGTCAGGAAGCTTTGAACTTTAGAAACAGTTATTTCCTTCTTCAGATACCATGAACAAAGATTAAAGAAATAATAAATTATTAGAATTTATAGCACTTATTATAGTCTTATAAAAAAATAAGAATTTTTCAAGCATGGAATACAACAGCAAAACCAAGTTGATTTACATACAGACATACCCAACAATGGACTTCTAATTACATGTACACAAACACATCCACAATGATATGATTCAATGCTTTCTCCATCTTCTTTCTACTCTGGATGACAAAGCTCATCAGTAAGGGGAAAACTCACCATCTACCTGGGTACCCTGACACTCTTCTTAAATTCCCCACTTTTCCTTTTCTGTCTTAAGGACTTGCCAACACATATGAATATGAGCAAAAGCTAAGGCAAAGTTATGTGTTTGTCAAAGCAATGCTACTTCTCCAAAATGCCTTCTCACCATGAATGGGAATCATTGCCCTCAACAAACTGCTACGATTCAGCTATTAAAATTATTAGAGAGATGCCTCTGCCTGAATTAAAGTGCAAACAAGACCATAGGCTGAAATCAATAGTATAGATTTTATTTAACAGTAAATGTGAGGTAGAGAGACAAAGAGATAGAAAGGAAGAGAAAAAGAGGAGTGGGGTAGACAGATTGGAAAATGGAAAATATCACCACTCCACAGATCCCAATTGGCATCCTGCTGATACTTTTCTTCTGATCTTCTTGGTGGTGAGGGTCCTGCGGAACACAGAGTTCAATGGATTAATACTATGCTTGGGCCAGTTTGGCCAGGTAGGGCAGGGGGCAGGTTTGACATTTTGCAGCAGACTCTGCATCTGTTGTATCGCATGCATCACGAGCAGTACACTGCTGCAAGGCCTCAGGAATGAGTCTGGGGGCAGTGTTTCAGGGTCTTTGATGATTTGTGACACCTCCTCAGCTGCCTCTCGTGAATTTTCCACGTGTATGTGGCCTTCCCATGGGGGAAAGGAGGGTTACAACTGACAACTCACACAAATGGATTTGCATTCTGCAGTGACTTCCTCTTTTTGTTTCCCTTGAGAGTGGGATTCATTAGTCTTGTTTTGACTGTCTGAATGGTGAGGATCTATGCTAATCATCTAGATCTGTTGGAAGACAGCAGGAGAAAATGAACTTCTATCAGGAATTGGTTCAGGTGATAAAGATAGCTATGTAAGACCTATATCCACTGACTGAGGAAACCTGCTTAGGTCATTGGTGGCTGACTTGGGTTAGACAGTCTTTTTGGTCGCTAAAGTTAAGGGAGATAGATTCCATCCTAAATATAGATTTTGTCACTTAATGCTTGTGTTCAAGGACACTTTGCATTAGAGTCAGTTGTACATTAATGTCAAACCCCAGACTACCATCCCATGGAAGTAGGGATAAATGGATTCACGGACCTTGTTTTTCAGCTCTTTTAGGGAAAACTAAGGAAGACTTATCAGGTAATTTCTCCATTTGTAATCAATCCAATTCGTACTGCTGAACCAAGGATATAAACAAAGAATGCAATTATAATTGTTATTTAATCATAGAATCATTTAGGTTAGAAAAGAACTTTAAGATCATCAAGGCAAACTCTTAAGCCAATACTGCCAAGCCCACGACTAAACCATACCTCTAGGTTCCACATGACACACCTTTTAAATCTCTCCAAGGATGGTGACTGCACCATTTCCCTAGGCAGCCCATTCCAGTTTTTGTTTGTACCTTGAACTACACTTGTTTGGATGGTTTTGAACTTGTAAGGCACTCCAATTGTGCAAGTAAAATTTTGTCCACTCTCAAGGAGACAGGAAAAATTGCATAAATACATTTTTAAGATGGACAAAATCCTGACACTCTTCATTGTTGACTTGTGCTTCCATACTTCATTAACACTGAAGGATTCAGTGAGGCTCCTTGGATATATTCAGCCTTTAAACGCTGTCATAAATTAAAAAGTAACTGCTCTTCCTTGAGAGCTTACACATGCCTTTCCATAATTTCATCCTTATCTGGCTTAGTTTAGAGATACCTCACTGATACTGGCCAGACCTTGGGAAAAGTCAAGACAATCCATAATTAGAAACAAGGAAGGAGAAAGGGAAGCTGGTTATCCTACTAAGAGCAACAGAATGGCAAGCCATGGGTATTTTTATTTTCACTGCCTGTCTCACAAAGGTTTCAAAGGAAAGACAGCAGGACTGTGTGGTACCTTACAAGGCACAGCCTCAGGATATGTGAGAAATGCTTCAGATTTGCTTTCTTTTTAATTTGGGAGAGAAAATAAAACTTTTCAAGGATGTGTACCTTTTCATTCTCTTCCCCACCCACATCAGTACTTAGTCTTGTCATTCTCAAGGGTGAGCAGCTTTAACGATTTGATTTACATTTTTGCATTTTGATGTCACCCACTGAAATAACAGAAGAACCATGTCAAGCTCAAGTGTGTGAAATGAATGAATGCAGTAAAAGCAGAGTTCTCTGCCTCTAAAGCACTAACTTGTGGAATTCAGGGGTTGTCTGTCCTTCTTGTTGGGCTGCCAGATGAGGGAACGTTTAATACTTTTGTGCTTTGCTTTGCTCACCTGAGCAATGCTTATGTCCTTTGCAATTGCATTAAGCTCCAACAGAGATACCTCCATTCAAGAGATGTCACCTATAGTTTAAATTTCTTCTGTAAGATTCCACCTTAGCTATATTATCTTAATTTCCTTGTCTTGTTTTTTACCAACATACAGTATTGGATCCTTCCACAATTTAATACACAGAAGAAAATATTCTCTTGTAATTTTGCCTTAAATTTGTACTCGAGGTCTGCACAATTTACCCCATTCCTGGTGTCCTTGAATCAGTATTGCTTTGGTATCAAACTCAAAGCAAAGCGCCAGGAAACCAACTTATTTTATGAGGAACCTCTTATCACAAACAAGCTTGATTTGTTTTTTCCCAATTTCCCTTAATATAGGCAGCAGCTACAATTTCTCATGAGTTTCATGAACCTGAAAGAATCTGTAGGACTTCTTCCAGAAGGCAAGGACATATCCAAAGAAAGCATCAAAGTCTATCTCAGTTTGTTTTTATCTAGCACAGAGCCAAGTTTCTAGTTAATACAAGTAAGTGGTAAGTTTCTGTTGAGTCCAATGATGCCAGGATTTTGCCTATATAGCTCAGAATTATGTCTCAAAGTGTTCCTTCCAGCCACCAGAAGTGTGAAAGAGTGATTCAAATGTCCACTTACAAAGTTGCTTCACAATGAATTAGTTACTATAAAATCTCTTCTACATGAATAAAAAGGAACCATTCCATTCTATTGAAAGCTTTTCCTTTCTTTTGGTGTGCAAATACATTCAGAAATATACATAAATTTCATTATTTTCTGAAATAAGATTACTTTTTGGAAAACAATTTTTGCAGTTTTCAGTGATTTATTTCACAGAATGAGTCAGGTTGGAAGGAACCACTTTGGATCATCTGGTCCAACCTCCTTGCTCAAGCAGGATCATCCCAGAGCACAGGACACAGGCTTGTGACCAGATGGTTCTCGAATATCTCCAGTGAGGAAGAATCTACACCCTCTCTGAGCAATCTGTTCCAGTGTGTGGTCACCCACATGATAATGCTTTTCCTCGTGTTCAGGTGGAATTTCCTGGGCATCAATTTCTGCCTGTTGTTTCTGGTCCTATTGCTTGGCATCACTCAGAAGGGCCTGGCTCCATCCTCTGAACACTCTCCCGTCCAATATTTATAGACACTGATGAGGTCCCACCTCAGCTGTCTCACCTCAATGCTGAATAGGGCCGGTTCACTCAGCCTTTTCTTGTAATAGAGGAACTCCAGGTCCTTAACAACTTTTGCAGCCTTCCTCTGGACTTGCTCCAGGAGATCCATGTTTCTTTTGTACTGAGGAGCCCCCAGAAGGACACATTACTCCAAATCCAGCCTCCCTTCACCTTAACTCACACTGTTGTCATTAGGATGAAAAAATATATACACAGAGAGGTTTAAAATTACCTATTTCTAACAAAGCCAATTTTAACTGAGTTGGAACTAACTATGCAAAAGATCTTGTACCAGATCCACTGCTAAAAATACAGCAGATAAAAGAGTCAAAGTGAAATCACGCACATTTTTTGGTGTTTAGACAGACAACAGATTTTTCTAAGTCTCTTTGGAAAGGGTAACCAATCTGAATTGTAAAAATATACAGTTTATCTTTTTTACCTGATTAATAATTTCAACTCCTGGAAAATGAGTCAGAGGTTTGTCCTGTATCTAGATTCCCTGAATCTTGCATATTAATTTCTTCCTCAGGTATATTTAAGGATGAATCCTTCAAACTGCTGTCCTGTGGCATGGTGCTCTACTGGCACTTCTCTTATTACTGCGAGCAAGTCCTATAAATGTTCTATAATCCTTTCTTCTTCAGAAAAAAGCAGGAAGTTAAATTGTGTTTGGGAAAGCCACAAAGTGTAGGCTGAGCTCTAAAGAATGTTCACAGGGGCAGAGCATCCTCACAGTGGTACCACCAGAGGTGGGATTTCGAACAGGATGTTTACCTTACTAGAAACCAGTAATCACTTTTGGATTTAATATTCAATTATGAAAAAGTGTAAATCAATGACTGGGTCTTCCCTATCCTGTACAGAGAATTCTGCCTGGCAAAATTAATCTGAAGTTAAAGCTCTTGTCTTGCCCAGGTGAATTCTGCGTCTAATTGTTGGTGGTTATGAAACCATTGTTCAAAATGGCATGAATAATTCAAAACATACATTTGTTTGCAGCAAGAAGAGTAGAAGCAAGTTTCCCAATTGCTTTTGCAATTTTCCATGAAGCACACCTGACTTTGTTAGGAGATAACATAAGGAGATAAGTTTTACTGTCTCTGAATTTTCAGTTCCCTTTTATATCTGGAATGAGATTTCCATACCACCAGACCCAGAAGGGTGCTGCTACAAGGCTTGAGGTTTAAAACTGGAAATTCTGAATTAGCTTGATTATATCATTTCTGGTTTCAGAGGTGGAGCTATGCTACTTTATTTTTCTAGGTGAAGCTGTAGTACCAACCATGGAAGAAGCCTCTTCGAACTTTACTGAGTATAGCCTCAGTGTCAGCCTGACAAGGTATCTCCAATGTGCAGATACCTGAATTCTCCAAGAAATCCAAACCAAAGTTCTCCTGATGTAACTCTGTATCCTGATGTGGGAGGGAGAAACAGTGAAGAATTCTTTTACCGCCTTGGGAGCAGAGCTGGCAGTAATCGCTTGCTCACTTCCTAATCAGCTAAGAATAGATCCCCTTATGTAAGGTGAGTAAAGAAGTGGAAAGACATACATTAAATACATTCTGGGAGCAAGGTGTATGTCAGACAAGGCTGCAAAAAGCTAAACTTTGTTTCCCTGTAGTCTTCTGAGAATGTACATTAAAAGCATGCTACAGGCAGCCCTGAAACTTGTCCAGAAACAATTTACAGCATCTCAGCCCACAGGGAGAGAAGAGAGTGAAGACTAAAGTCTCTGCACTGCACAAAGACAGGCTGACTCTGAGTATATCGTGCTAAAAATAAATAAAAATAAAGCTGTACTAAGTAAGACAGTACTTCAAAATTATTTTTTTTTTTTACCAGTAAAAACTAGAATTGCTTGCAGAACATCAATGTGATTAGAATAGATATTCTCTGCACAGGTGCAGCAAATAGCCTGTGATTTCCTGAATCAAGCAAAAAGAATGAAGGCTGGATAAAAATTAGATAGTCTTCAATGAGGTTTTCCATTATGAAGGAGATTTGATAATGCAAAAACCTGTATTCATTATATGAAACAGGAAAAAAAAAGTAATTGTGTGGCCATAATAATTTTATTATTGGACAAAAAAAAATAGGAAACATTAAATCAATTTTGTAAATGTTGTCATTTTTTACCAACCTCAATACTTCATTGTTACCCATTTAGGATGAGAACAAAGATACATAAATTTAGACCATCAGTTTGTCATCACATTATTTTTCAAGGGATGTGAGGTGTTCTGTCAGGTCTTTCATTCTGCCACTCTTCTACTGATTAAGATTCACTTTCTTTCAAATTGTATTCTCATATTTGAAGCCTTTTCAATGAGAGGAATGAAATAAGGGACTCCCCTCTGCTTTTCCTAAAATAGTGTTCAGGAGCAAAGGAATGGAAATCTTGGTTGTGAGGTATATGCAAATATAGTTGTGAATTCATTCATTGCTCTGTGAAGCTGAGGTGTATATCCTCCATGGATATATTTTTCTATAAATTTTGGAAATGATAAACATTTGTCCTTTTTTTCTTGTCTACTTCTTAGCTTTTTATTAAATATTTATTGAAATGAGGACCTAAGGATCCATTTCACAAATAGATTTTCTTTTGACTTCTTTCATGGTCATTTGAATTTTTTTGAGCGAAGACTTTGGCTCACTAGAAACTAGTCTGCAGGTTAGAATTTAATTTTCCGTAACTCTGATGTACTTCAAGTGCTGAAGCTGTCTTATGATCTTAATATCTATCCTCTTTTTTTTTTATATGCTTATCATATAATCAGAAGTAATGGTCCAAATTCAAATTTGTTGAAGACACATTTCTAGTAAGTGTAGCATTACTATAAAATACACTGATTATATTTACCTCATTCTCAAGCATCAGATACAATTTTTTACTAATGATTTTAGAGTTTGTAAGATAAAATGCAAAAGATAGGAAGGCAATGAAAGAGATAATGATACTTATACTGAGGCTGAGTGGGCATATAAATAATTTTAAAAAATGTGGCATACACAGGAGATCTTTCAGTCAGAGTCTGATCTTTTCAGGCAGGGTTCTGGTGAATTTATTTTTAATCTATTTGGCTTTTTAATTCAGGCTTGAGTGCTATTTATCTAATTTCATGCAATTAGCAGAGGTGCTTATGTTAGGATTATGACCACCCGAGGCTCTTTTAATAGTCAATGGGAAAAATGAATACCTCTAGACTACATTTTAGCTCATCAGACTTCCCAGTTTTCCTTTAAATATGCCTCTTCCTCTGTCTTCCCAGCAATGGAGGGGGGTCTGAGGAAACAATAATCCTGTCTCTTCAGTGCATTACTGCAGTGGAATTATCCCAGGCTCCTCATAGAGGTGGGAGCTTGTCCAGGCTTGATGGAAGGTGTCCAAGAATAACATCAGAGTAAAAGTCTAAAGTCTAAAATTTCCTTGGAAGAAATAACTTTATTTCAGTCTGTGATTTGTGCATACACCATTTTAAAAACCATCCCTGAGTCAGAAAAGCCCTATGTTATATTGTAATTATTATTTTGGTAATTAATAAAGTTGAAAATCACCATTGCCGCATTTCTTCTCTTTACCACGTTTCATGGCACATTTGGCATTTGACTGCAGTGTAAATATCCAGTAGTGTCAGTCTAATGGTAAGATAATAGCTATAAATATTACAAAGTAAATAGAGCCAGTATGAGTAACTTTATAGCAATTCTTAGACCAAGTAATCTTTTTATCAAGTTGCTGGAACCTGCAATTATCTCACCACTTTTTCCCTCACTTCATTTCTGTTTTATCAAGGAAGGAATTCAAAATCACCTTCTCAACTTCTAAATTTTTCATGGTCTCTTTACACTTTTGCTACTTGCTCCCCCAATGTCTCACTCTGTTGGTGAAAACCCAGTCTATTTTGTCTTCTCCATCTGACTGCACACATCAGGATGAGACAGTGATTTCTCTAACTTGTCACATTAACATTTGCAAATGCAAACATTTGCATTTTTGTTTCTTATTTTTAGGTAACCATTCAAGTGTAAATAAATTACTGCTCAAGTTCATGCTCTGAGGAGACAGAAATCCATTAAGGATGTTTCCTGTTATAATAAGAGGATAAATAGTGTTGTGTAGAGACTTCTGCACTTTGACAAGAAAAGACTAGCCCTTTCCTAATGTGATTCCTTCTAGTGTGGGCATTGAAACCATTTTAATTTTTGTCAGATCTTTATCTAGGACTTTCACATCTAACTGCCAGGAAATAAAACTGTCTCTGTCCTACTTCCACCTGTTTATACATTTCTTTTTTATCTGTTTGTGCCACACTTTTTTTCACTAATATTTTGCCTCATGTGTTCTTGTCTTTTCTGCACCTTATCTGATAGATAGGTGTCTGATACCTGAAGAAAACTATTCGATAATTAAAAATAAACAAACAAACAAAACTAACAAGAAAACCAAACCAAGCCAGAAAGAAAATATAAATAAAGCACCCCACACTGAAATTCCCAGAAAACCACTTTCCTCCCCCAAAACAGCCTTTTCATTAGTGGTTATGCTCATTTTGTATTTTCCCTACCTGCCCCATGATGTTCATCCAGATTTCTCTCTGCTCCAGTTTGTATAAAATGGTCGTGCAATCCGACTGCTCCTTGCAAGAAAAAAAAGGTACTGTAAAAATCCACAGAAAATAGGTATAGAAGCTGAGCAGGACAACCCAATTCATCTCTTTTTGAGTCTCTGCACCCAGTACTAATTCTAACTGTTTCTACAGAACCAGAAAGATTTAAGCTGTGGGAAGGGCTTAAGTCCTTTCAAAAACCAGCAAAAACAAATTAATTGAAGAAATACACTTGCAATTTTCTATGGCTGATGTAAGACTGATCCCAAGCATTTAATTCAAGAAATATCAAATTAACTCATATTCAATTTTTTATCATTTTATCAATTTTCTCTTACAGCAATTTTGGTGTCTTTTGGAATGGACAGATTTTGGTCTCTGTAAGATCAATTTCTCTCTACAATAACACTAATTAAAATATTAATCCACATTGGAGTTCTGCACTCCACATTAGAGTCTCCTTTGCTTTTGACGACAAGCTGTTTGTGACTACTTGGGTATCTGACAGAGTTTGCACTTTCACAAATTTGAAATTCATTCCCCTGACATGAGTCATACATATTTTTTTCAGCTCATTTGGTTTTACTCATCTCTCATCTGGTCGATGGATAATTTAGTAATAGGTCATGATAGAAGTTGGAAAAGCCATTAAGAGCAGAAATTTACATCCCGTGATTAAGATTCAGGAAAAATAAGTGAATTGTGGTCAAAGAATTAAGTAGGAAAAAAATTTAGCCTCTACAATGAAATTTTTATTCTTCCAGTATTGCTTTTAGCATTGCTTTTGCAGGTAGTATCTCAGAAGATGGAGATAGATTTTCCTTCTAATTTACTTTTGAATATATTGTCATATTAAAGAAAAATGTACAAAAGAAGATTGTGGGCTTCACTAGCTTTACAGTGGTGCACAAAACTCTCTAAACCTGCAACAAACGTTCCCAGCAGCAGTTAGCAATGAAATGGTTTCAAGTATAAAGATATTGAAACAAGCTGCTGATCCCATTATACCAATATTTAAATGCTGCTATTTGAATCACAGTCTGAAGCTGATTTGGTTGATTTCCACACCTTTGGTCCCAAGAGGTATTGTAATGAAACAACTTCACTTTCTCTGTCAGTGAGGGTTGTTGGAAACAGATTTCAGAAGGAATCACCTCCTTTGTGCTGCAGTTGAAGAGAAATGTTGAACTAGGGTCAGATAAGTGAACAGACAAGAAAGACAAGAAAGAGCTAAAGAAGAAGCTAAAAACCATCTCCTCTCTTGCCATGGTAGAGAATTGCAGTCAGCCAAGAGGGAATGGACACAGTTCCACAGTAGTTTAACTCTGGGTTTAACACAGGTATCTTTCTGTATGGGGAGCTACCAGCACACAAGTACCGCTCGATCAATATTGGGAACACCAGCAGTGCCTGAGGAATGCTCTCCAGATCTTACACCTAAGACTCGGAATCCCCGTCCATGGGAAGTCTAGACTGCTATGTTCTTCACTACTTCATCACATTATATCTTTAATGGTTAAAAAATCCAGCTCCTATCAGTTCCTAAAGAAAATTATTCCAAAGATTGATGTCCACCAGGCTGAATGGTCTCTGTGATCTCCCTGTCACTTCTTTGTCCTTGCTGACATTTTTCTTTCAGTTGAAAGGAGAAGACCAATGGTTGAATTATTTTACTACCCTACGTATGCATTCATTTGTAGCTCATTTCTACTGCCATGAGGAAGCTTTTTGACACCCTTAAGTAGTAAGAAAGGAAATATTTGCAGCCATTAACAAATGCAGCATTTAATGATATTATAAGCCTGCCTGATCAGAGCCCTTCACTGGATATTGGATTGCTTGTTGAAAGTCAATTTTACAACAAAATAAACACCGGCATGACATAAATTTCACTAGTTTAGTTTTCAGATGTAGTTATATGCTGTATTACTCCTCAGGGGTGAAAAACATTATGTGTGCAAATGAATTTAGATACACAGCAACTGATTTTCCAGTGACAATATAATTAAGGCTATAAAAGACAGCCTATATGTAACAGCTACTGTGGGAGCCCCTTGCATGCTCATATATACACAACAACTGCATTTTTTCTTATTTTGTTGTAACACTTGTCTTTTTGTAAAACAAGCAAATTATACAGTGTCTAAAAAATTCTAAAAGACTGAGAAGCGCAATAATTAGACCACTGACTAAAATTTTGCATTAGAGAAAAACAAACATTGCTAAATCAAAATACATCCTATTTGTTTGTTCTAAGTACTTGTTTTCAACACAGATACACGTACATCATGGGAACAAAGTGAGTAGTTTTAGCACTTTAGTTTTAATTTCTTTTTCAAGATGATCACCTGTTTTCCTAAACATGTGCCTATTGAGGCCCTCTGGTTCCTGAACAAAATATTCATCCACTGTGCTTCATTTGGGATTAAGACAGTAGCGAGGCAGCACAACACATTATTTTCTTTCGAATCAAGGGAGGATCTGTTGCATTGCTTTTTTTTTAGTGCAACCAGAGGAACTGACTAAGTGTTGCAATTACAGGCACCACTCAACTTGTTCACCTGAGAAGGAAGGAGATAAGTGACAGTGGCTTTATAGCAGCAGGTCAGAGATAGAGGACTGCTGAGGAATATAAGCATGAAAGTGGAAGGGGAGGGGATAAAGATACCCAAGCACCGGGAGCTGAGCTCCATCACTGAAAAAGAAGCTGAGCTATTTTAAAATGCATTTTGGAATCCATGAATAAGAATGTTTAAACCAGTACTTTTAACAGGCACAGTAGATTAATATTAATAAATTGAACTTCCCTCTGCAGTGCAAAGTGGAGAACTATTTAAGCAGATATTTTGAGCTGCTTTTTTACTCCAGTTTTACATGTAATATTTTATAGATTTCTCTGAGAATTTTGATTCTTAAAAACAAGGACAAAATGTTCTTGAATAAAATGAGCAAAATGAGAACCTGACACAATGGTGAATAATTATTTTCCAGAAATTAAACCCAGGAACAGGAATGAACAAAAAATATAGGCTAGACTTAAGGTTTAAAAAAAAAAATTACAATTCTGAATATATTTTGTCTATTCACTCCCATGAGAATTGAAAATAGAAAGGTCTTTACACCAAGAAAAAGAAGTTTAGAATGGTAAATATAAGCTTATCACTTATCTAGTGACAAGTGACCCCCCACTAGAAAAATAAAAAATAAAAGCATCATGAAGTCTATATCTGTAAAGGCTAGGTTCACTTAACTATTCTCCCTAAAAGCAAGAAACATACTTGGACCACCAGCTTATTTTCTACCTGAAATTTTCTTCTAGCCATTATATTGAGTTTTTTGTATTTGGGTTTCTTTTGTTTGTAAGAAAAATTGCTGCTATTCCATGAGGGTGAGGCCTTGACTGCTCATGTGCCTCAGCACTGACTGATTACTCTGAGCTTAGAGAATGCAGCTGTCCACAGAAGAAGTGATCTGCTCAGCTGCCCAGGGAGGCAAAGCATGTAGCCCTGCTTTGAACTTGCAGCAATAGACCGTGTTTATTATATTTTGACAAAAATAGATTTATTAAATGCTCTTGGCTAGTCATAGTGCTGATCATTGGCTCCTTAATACATTAATAACATAAGCAGTTATTATACTATATTAATTATATTATATTATATTATATTATATTATATTATATTATATTATATTAATTATATTAATTATATTATATTATATTATATTATATTATATTATATTATATTATATTATATATTACTTTATATTATTTATTATTATACTATATTATTAATAACATATAGCAGTTATAACATACAGTTATTATACACAGTTATATATGTTTACTAATACAATAGTGCAATACAACCATATTAAGGTTACTAGTATTAAGTAACTATATTAAGTTACTAGTACAATACAATCATAGTAGAGAGCAAATCAAAGACCTCAAACAGCGAGCACATAAAATATTATACCTGTCTCTGACATCCAAGAAAACACTGAATTTCATATAACACTGTGAAAATAACTGTTAAATAGAAAAACTTAGAGTGTGAGTGTGCAAATTAGAGAGTTTTCTTAAGTCACTGGGTGAAGAAGTTAAAGTTTGGAGTTTAAACAAGTTTAGAGAGCAGAAGACGAGATGGAGGATTTAGAGTGTTGTCTCTTTTTCCTTCTTCTTTCTTCATTTTCTTCTTCTAGAGGTTTTTTGGGTAGTAGTAAGTGATTGGATAGAGAATGCCACAGTGCAGCACACAATGACAGTGTTGGGTCATTGGGTCAATAAGAAAAATAATTTACTTCGCATCTGCTGCATCTGCTAATTGGGTAAATGAACATATAAAAAAACCTTGAAGAAGATCTTTGTTAGCCATTTTGCACCTTTCTATCTTAGTGCATGTAGCTCCTTGTACCCTGTATACATGTAATATAGAGACAAGAAGAATAAACAGCCAAGTCCAAACAAGAGAAAACTGCCTCTCTCTCGTCAGTCTCAGTCCAAGGGGGAAAAGAGCCCAGCCACAAGTGTCCAAACAGGATACTCAGACTGATCAAAACCAGAAGTTACAGGTGAAGTACTAAAGTGTTATTAGTTGCATTTAATACATTGCTTCTACCAGACAGACACCAGATTCCCAGCTGCCGTGAGTTTGGCCTTCACTTGCAGTTAACAAGATGTTTTCCTGTCCTGTTTATCCTCCCCACCTATTTTTAGAAGCGTTTTGCACTTACTCATGCAGCGCTCATCAATGTGTGAAATTAAAGTATGAACTGATCAGTATGTGAAAGCGAGGTTCATAGAGTTAATTTATGAATACATTTTGCCAGGGAGCCTGAATATATTTAAGGAAGGCTGTGCCACCTGCTAAAATGAGCTGTTACTACTACATTGATGTCTGAAATCAGAATGGTTGCAAGCAAACCCTGTCTGGAATCTACTGAGGTGGGATAAATATCATCAAGTTACTAAATGCAGACAGTTAATTGTGTTTTGCTGGGATGACAAATATAAAATCATGTCTTAAACATGAAAGGCAATGAATTACAAAAGCTCAGTTTCTACTCTTTAAGATGTACAACTTAAAGCTAAAATTTCAAGCTATAGATATGGTTTACGAATAAACTGTATTTTTGTGCTTGAGTTATTGAAATGAAAAGTTCTATGTGCACTTCTGATGCCTGTGTGTTAGGAATGTAAGTGCTTTAGCTGTTCAAAAGAAGCTATTCTGGAACACATAAAAAAATGGATATAACCTGTTAAATTAGTCTCATGCTCCAAAATAAACTGGATCAATTTTTTGCAGTTTGGGCTCAAAGAGACTGTGAACAACACACAGAGTTAGTAGTAAAATCAAATGAAGAATAATAATAGCATAGAAGAATACTAAAGATAAATGCTCTGTCAGACTTGCAATCCCCTGGAAATTCAAAGCATCCAAGAAAGATTTAATCCTTAAAGGGGGCAGGAAAGCAAATG